TTGGCTTGTTTGCTTTCTCATCAATCCTAAAAGTAGCCATACACGTTCTATCAGAAAAACCTTTAAATTTAGCACACAAACCCTTCTCGATAGCAATACCGACTCCATGGTGTGAGTTGTTGTCCGATCCTGTGTATAAAAGTTCGTATTTGAGATTCCCACTACAAGGCAAGTCGATGACACCTGTGCCTTGCAGGTGTGTTTCCTGTACGCCGAGTATCTGCACATTGTATCGCTCTAGATCCAGGGTTAGGTCTTTCTGCTTTAAATGCGATCTAATTCCTCTAACATTCAATGTTCCAACCGCTAATTTATCACATTTACGGGGTCTAATACACGTATTCTTGCTTTTCACCACAGCCAAAAAACAATGCAATACGTGTCTTCAACCAAAATGCCAAACGAAAATGATTTATTTTAATCAGCTTGCAATACAAATTTGAAATGTTTAAAATGGCTTTAAACACTTTTCTATTTTTCTCCACTCGTAAAATGTTAAATATCAATCAGGTTATTTATCATTTCAAACTTTTAGCCATGTTTAACTTTCCGAATTTTAGTCATGGTTCTTTTTATGTTTTTATATTTAAATGCTGCTTTTGCAATATTTTTAAGTGTTTCATGTTCTTTACCAGTGGAAAACAAATTTCTTTTTTACTTGTGGACAATAAAAGTTTGGTTTGATTTGATTTGATTTACTATACTATTCTCAATAATAAGAATAATATAGGCCCATATGCCAGATAAAAAATACAAAAACATAAGAATATTTGAAGCCATTTGGTTCCATCTACACACACACTGAAGGAATTGAAATCATGAATGTAAATAAGTTCATTGAAACTGATAACCAATCAAGTAAAAATAGGATTTTACCTGATCTTCAGTTCAGTTCAGTTCAAAATTGTATCTTTGTATTTCTCAATTACATTCGTAGCTTTTTTCATTGGTGCTTTTTCAAATAATAAATTGAAAAATGTTGAGAATAATGATAACATTAACTTTTTATTATATCAATCTAAAATGAGTACAAATATTGGCGAAACACTGAATTGTTAACGAAAGAAGAAGTCGATCGGAAAATCGTCCCGTGATTTCCGTCTACCTGTGATTTGTTTTACTTCATGAGTAGAGGTTCATTCATCATGTGATTTCCAAACAATTTGTATAAGGCGTGGTGATTTTTTTATTTGAAATGCAATGACGTACAGTATGGGTATTTAAATTGAAGAGAAGCCTGATGAGACGCGAAGGTGACGTGGAAGGAGCAGCCAGTTGCATAAATAAAATTATCTATTAAAAAAATCATAAGAACGCTTTATGTTTTGTACTTTGAAAACTATTTTTCTTTTGATAATGAATTTATTATCAAATAGATGGAGTCTTAATGGGTCTCCGCAAAGGAATAAAGCAACAATTTCCCCTTCCTTGACATTCTTTTAGATAACTCTGACCATAACTCATTAATAACCTCTGTCTATCATAAAAACACATATACCGGCTTGTTAATTTCCATAGCTTTAGGTAACACACATATAAACCTGAATTTCTAGGCACCCTAATAAATCGTACATTTAAAATTAATAATACTTCATAACGATTTAAGAAAACATATATACTTTTCAAAAAACACTGTTATCCAATTTCATTAATTAATAAAATAATACATAATCAGGCCCGTAGGAAGGATTTTCGATGGGAAGGTGCGTTTTGCAACCGAAGTGGAACCTTACGATGGGCGACTGCCTAGGGATCCCCGCGAGGGTTGGGCGAATCTTCTGGAAGCTCTTACAAATTAGCATATTGAGGGCCTTTTTTAATGGATTTCTAAACGACATATGTAATGTCCTATTTAAATTTTCATTCATTTGAGTATTGTCTAGGGACCTACAGTAAAGCAGGAGAAATGAGGGTGGGGTGAAGGGAGAAACTTGCACAGACAGATGGTCAATAAGTGGCCGGAAATGGCACTCTCAGACAAACTTTAATTATGATTTTTCTTTTTTCTCCATTTCTTTTATAATTTTAGGGGCTCTTCCCCCTTGAATCCACCACTGTGAAATTGTAATTTTTTATGTCCTTTACATCTGTAGGCCTACAATCACTGGAGCTGATAATTTCCAACAGATTTCGTAGCACATTATTAAAAATCAACAAGTAAAAGAGCGGGCAAAAAATAGCATACTATAGCATTTCGAGATAATTAGAAACGATTTTAGTGAAATAGGCCTAATAGGTTTTAAAAAAGTGGACTTTTTTAAATTTGGTGGTCGAGGGGCAGAGGTCTGGAGGGGGTTTGTGAGAAAAGCGACAAAGTAGCATTTTGAGGGTCTCACATAATAGATTTCTCAAACACATAATTCATGAATATTTCAATTAACTTTTCATTAATTTGAGTGTTTTTGGGACCTGAAAAAGTAACGTTATTATGTCCTGTACATCTGCAGGCCTATAGAAACATTCTTCATTACATAGATCAATGTGCAATCACCGGAGATGATCAATTTCTAACGAATTTCATACCACATTACTAAAAATGAACGGTTAGATAAGCTGGCAAATATATAATGCAATGCATGCTATAGCATTTTGTGATAATTAGGAACGATTTTGTGAAATCATAGGTTTTAAAAAGTGGACCTTTTGGAATTTGTGGGGGTGCGTCCGCGCCCTCTGCACCCCTCCCCCCTGCCTATGGGCCTGCATAACTGTATAAACAGAAAACTATCGCCCACCAAACACAACCTTTTTATTTTAAGTTACCTTATACACCATTGTCCAACTGTTGCCAACGAAAAATCAACTCTATAGTAAAAAATTATTGCTTTAATATTAATGTTAAACTTGTTTTTGAATCATGTAAATCATCTATTTTTTAAATGTCTCCGAGCCCGTGTTGTCTACAAATGTACTTGCGCGGGGTGTAACTCTGCATATATTTTGTAAGACCAATAGATACTTAGAAACAACTGCAAAGGAGTACTTAATCTCGGGCAAGTCCTCAAACATTTTTAACATCAACGACACAACCAATTCAGACTGCTTTACTATTCTTGATTCCTTCTCACTCAAACGCTCGGTAGACTATGTTAGTCTGTCCATAGAGAAAATATTTTATCTATGGTGTGTCGGTGGGACACTCTAACAAACGTTCTCCAAGCAGCACGATCTTGGCATTGGTCGTCTGCTTCATTTATGCCTTTTTCTGTTCTTGTGGCGATCTTTCTAATTCCTTCCTGCTATTATTTCTCGGCCTTCCTACTGGTCTCTTGTGGTTTCCAGTCCTGTATCCTCTATGAGTCTCTTGTTGGAGACATTTACTTTACATCTCATACCATCTGTTTCCGTTCGATGATTGTTATAATCATGTCATAATATATATATATA